ATGAAAATCCTGTCTCGATATGGGTAACCATTTTGACCTTTGCTACCACACATGTTGAGTTGTAATGCAATCATCGAGCATTCACCCCCAGACATTGAACTTTCGATTTAACATGCATTCCGTTCTTTGTAGAATATTCCGAAAAAAAAAGAAGTTTCATTATAATACCGTAAAAGGCATCTACAGTGATTCTTTATCTAGAACGATAAAACATTCAATTTGATGCGATTATCGCCTGAATAATGGTGGAACATAATGAAACATTTCCCTCTATACGCAGCCTAAAATACAGTGAGCATTTCCACCGCGGTGAATTGAAATTCCAGTTTAAGAAAGACGCTCTCTTCGGGTGTGGATGCCTGCAGATTCCAATGTAAACCAAACAAGAATTTACCATTTGACTCATGTATAAACCCGGCTTATGTGTATTTTTGATTCGAGTATAAACAGGGCTAATATTTACTTTTTTTTTCGCTCAAGTATAAAACTGACTAACCTCTACGTTTTGGATTCCACGTATAATTGAGCCAATGTTAACATTTTGACTCAAGATTTCGGCATTAAACAACCCCACAATGGATGTAAGTTGTTAAACCAAACAAAATATAATTGGAGAAAAATCATACATTTTTGTACTGTAGAGTTTTATGGCGAAGATGGAGATTAGAACTGATAGAAAACGCTTGCATTCTTCAGCGAAAGGTGGGTAAAAGAGGTGAGCTTGGTTCCTTTGAACGAGGCTAGCCTTTATTTCCTCTTTTAGGTCAACCTACGTCACATCGGAGTTATTTCCTGCGGAGCCTTCCCCTTGGTTAGGTTAGACAAGCCTTAGTGTACCTAGTTAATGTGAGTAAGTGTTGTTCCTGGACTGTTCTCGGCTGCCTCTTTGGTTATGATTCAAGTCGAGATCCCCACCCACCCAATTCGTTTTTGGCCCCACTTTTTCATCTCGACTGGGTCAGTTTTATATTTTCCCATGCCAGTATTATTTTTTATCCTTTTCCCACACCCGTCGTGAGAGAGCTTCTTGCTTTTGTCCCATGGGCAGAATACAGCGGCCTCTCCTTTTTGAGGGTTGGACGGGCTCTACTAACAGTTATGTTTAATTTGTGTTAATATTTCAGTTTGTTACTGGGTTCATCTCCCTCACCTCTCATTTTTTCATCAAAGATTTTATATATATTTTACTATCATTAAATTTTATGGCATGGGGCGCGTTTTGCATTTTCCCCTAGAGAGGATGTGGTATTATGTTGCATGGAGTATTGATTAATGATGGACGAGTTCTTGTGGTGAATGGGTAAATTGTAATGGGTGAATGGGTCTTGAATCGCGTTAGCTAGGTATAAGATAGTTAGTGTGGATCAGCCTTAACCCTTCCATCTTTTCGGCCTTGTGCCACAATTATGTAATTTTTATATAATAAATATCTAAAGCTTTTTACTGCGAAATGGTTAACGCATTTCTATTGTTTACAACGCAATACACAAGTTAATTTTCCAAATTAAATATGCGTTATAATTGTTTCGCATTGAATTATTTCTTTAGACGCTATGGTATGCGCAATAGGTCAGATTGATTTTTTTGTTTTATTTGTAAATCAACATTGCAAGTATTGTAAAAACGGGGGTTTAAATGTTATAAATAGTACCACAAAAATTTAGATTTATAGCTTTTACCAATTTCTGAGCATTTAGAATTACCTAATTTCCGCAGATTTTTGCTTATAAACTGACTTCAAAATTTTTCTACTTCAAGAATAAATTCGAATAAAGTTGATATCTTTTGTATTCGATACATTGAATGGAAAAAATATTCAAACCAGAATTCTAATTATGAATTACCACAAGCAAAATATGCAGGTTTTCTGTTACTGTATTCGATGAGTAAAAACTGTAAAAAATGTGTACACAATGAATAAGAATTGTTAGATCATCTTAAAAACAAAAAATAAATAAAAGTGTGTATAATATCATATTGCTGGGCATAAGTTGTGAGACAAACTGTCTTAACTTGCATTGTGTATTGAAAATGGCACTAAATCTACTGCACAGGATAACATATTGCTTCATAATATGGCTAGGTTGTTCAGTATAATTTCCATTTGAAACAAAAAAGGTCTTTGATGGCACAATGATTCAGTAATAATGTGCTTGTGCCATGCATCTTGTCCATATAAAATTTTTAAAGCTTCAGTAAATTATAAATTTTATAATGCTTTTACTGATCACCGAAATTAAATTGCAACGCTACTATTTTGAACTAAAACTTAATCTACAAAAAAAATTCCTCAAAAAAATGCTGAGGATACAGAACAGGGGTGGGAGAACGATACAGTGCAAGGGTCACATTAAAAAATTCACAATTTTACCGGGCTGCATAATATATTAATCAAATATTGCAGTTATTTATCATTTTTATTTAAAAATTAGGCGTCAAGTTGCTTGTACTATTCCTCCCACAACATTGACAGCATCAACTATATAATCTTTAATACATTCTGCTCCTGCAAATGATTTGTTGGCTTTGTAATTTTATTTGCAAATAAAACCAAAAAAATTGCTTTTATCGCGCTCCTATTTAAAGATGAAGTTTTCTCAAACACAGATTACCCTTGCTTCCAACCGTTTACCAATTCAGTCACCTTCTTTTGCAGTTCTTGCTTTGGGAAACTCTGTCCAAAGTTGGCGTTCTTGATTCGAATGCCGTTTCAAATTGTATTCCTTGAACACAGCCTATCTTTCATGACAGTTTTAACTCCAACGTTGAATAATATAATACTTTATTATAATAATATAATAAAAATACTTTATATAATAATATAAATACTTTATTATAAATAAATACTTTATTATAATAATATAATAAAAATACTTTATATAATAATATAAATACTTTATTATAATAATATAATACTTTTCCGTCCACTCTTTGTTAAACACGCGGCATTCATCTTCAATGTTTCGCTTTTTAGTTGGCTTCGAATAAGTCATTTTGGGTAATGCCTGTAAGACAATAAAAGCTAGGCTGAAATAAAACGGCCCACGCCTTAACTCTTTGGCCTCTGTCAGGACATTGAAATGATTAAAATGAAAGACAATAAAATCATTGGCGCAGTAACGAAGTTGCCAAATTAGTCATTTTTACAAACTAGAGCTTGAGTTGAGAACCTTTTGATCAGCACTCTCCCATGCATACGTACACACCTGCGGGAAGAAAATAAAATGCTCAGAATATTATTTGGTGTTGATTGGTAACTTTCTCTTTCAGATTTACTAACATTTGACAGGCCGCCTTAATTCTTTTGGCGGGCCGCGTGCTTGAATTTGCCACCCCCCCCTAAAAAAAACTATTTTGTGTCATTATTTTTCATATTAAACACAAATTTCAAAATGCTTCGTGTTATATTGATGGCTTTGTGCAAAGCATAGATAATCTTAAAAAAATACCAAAGGGAATTTTGGTATTGCATGGTAATGGTAATATTAGACATTTACTCATTTCGAATCATTTGGAGTTCATTGATCGGTTGAAATTTGTAAAATTTTTCTCTTGAAATAATTTTTCAGGAAAATATGTTTCTCAAGACCGGTACCTGTTGTCGTTGTTTCTAGTGTTAATAGGGGGTTAACTTCCTAACATTTTCTTTGTAGTAACGTGTAACGTAAACAACTTATTTTTATAGTGTGGAAGAACACCATTGGAAGACACCAATGAAAAGTAAAAACAAAAAAGAACTGAAATATATTTTTGAAATGTCAGTGATCGAAAAAAAAAAAACTCTCGGAGTCTTTTATCCTTCAGTCGTCTCTTTGATGAGCAATAAGCTATTCTTAGACTAATTTCTTTGTACCAGGTGGCCATGCGTAAAAAAAAAAAGAATCATCGGTGTTTTATAAGACAAATTCGGTGTATGACGACCATAAGATTTTCTCCAATATACCTGCTTCTATGCAGTTTGTGGTGAGCTAGTGACATTAACCTTCAGAATCTAACGGAAGACAAGAATAGGCTTTGTGTCTAAGAAAAACTGCTTTCATTTACTTTTTTATTTTCATCAGAAGATCAAGCTTTGTCATTATCTTTTATCTTTGATAGATTTCACGATTATTTTCAGTCGAATATTTTCGCAGAAGAGTTTGGTCTTCTGTGAAATTCTCTGAGTCCCGACGGAAGGGTGAAAACAAAAAACAAAGATTATTACAATGTTTCTACAATCACTCAAAGAGCATTTTAGAGAATATTATTAGATGTTTTATCAAACGAGAAGTCGCTGTAAACGTTGGTGCTATAAATGTTGGTGGTATAAATTTTATGGTGCTATAAATATTGGTTTTGTAAATGTTGATCTAACTCAACTCGACTGATATATATATATATATATATATATATATATATATATATATAATTTCTAAGAGTTAACCTGTAGAAAAGACAATATTTATAATATATTGATTATCACATTATATTCTACAGAGTAACGTGATGTCCATCTTAGCTGTTTCTGCTTTTAAAACAGTTCAAGAGATCATGGTTTCTGTTCTTTGATTTAGATGCTGTATCACAAAGCTTGAAGAAGTGTGGTCTTCTTTATGACCCACAAACGCTGAAAGTAATTTTTCACCATTGATCTTAAAAGGCGGTTATATACAGACGGAAGTTTTGGTAATTCTGAACGTTTTGTCTCCATATATAATATCCAAATGAAAGTCTGGGTCTGACGAGGCTTTTTAAGAAGATGGCTCGAGATTTCATGTTTAGTCTTTAGTTTTGTAGCAATTTGCAGTGTTGGGTGGAACTACATACAGCCAATTCTAAGTTCAATTCTGTATTCGCCTCAACTAAATTTGTTAAATACGATCCATAATTCTGAAGTTTTATTTGTAATATTATCGTATTAAATGCCATACTTATTGATTGGACCAAGCGTGTTATTTTTGAGACAATAAGCTAAGTTGAAGAAATATCTAAATGAATATAGAGATCATTATAACTGTCGTATGAACCTTCTTCACTGTGTTCCGAAACTTGTTATAAGACCTGTCCGTTGGGGTCCAGAATATATCAACCGTATCCACGTGCAGAAGGTTAACATCCAGCCAAAAATGGGATATTTATTTACTGTATCTATTTCTATCTGACCTTTGCCTGCTGTTTTGGATTTCGCGCCAACCGCAAAAATGTCTAACTTTTTTTAACCAAAGGCAAACAAAACTTATATTTACCGTTTAGAACATTTTTCAAACACCGAACTGAAGCGTACCTTTATGAAACGGAACTATGTCCACATTTTTTAATTTCGTGAAAACTCATCAAGTGCTTATGAAACAAACAAAATCTCTCATTACATTTCCTCTAAAAAGTTGAGTTGCCATGAATCAAACAACCATACAAACATTTTTTATCTTGCGCCATAATAGTCTAAGTCCAACGACCGCCCTGAAAAAATATTTTCGTATTTCTAAACTATCTTTTAATTAAAGGCATTATACGCATGGGCCAAACAGTCGGCGTCTTTAATGGAAGATCGATCGTAGAACGGTAAAACATCTCTTTCCGCTCTTCTCTTTTTTCTATTATCCCCCTCTCTCTCTCATACACACACTCTTTATCTATCTATCTATCTATCTATCTGTCTGTCTATCTATCTATCTATCTATCTATCTATCTATCTATCTGTCTATGTCTGTTCATTATCTAACTATCTATCTCAGACTATTCATTATCTATCTATCTATATAAATCTTTTTCTTTCTATCTATCTATCTATCTATCTATCTATCTATGTCTGTTCATTATCTATCTATCTCAGTCTATTCATTATCTATATAAATCTTTTTCTATCTATCTATCTGTCTATCTCAGTCTATTCATTATCTATCTATCTATATAAATCTTTTTCTTTTTATTTATCTATCTATCTATCTATCTATCTATCTATGTCTGTTCATTATCTAACTATCTATCTCAGTCTATTCATTATCTATCTATATAAATCTTTTTCTATCTATCTATCTATCTCAGTCTATTCATTATCTATCTATATAAATCTTTTTCTTTTTATTTATCTATCTATCTATCTATCTATCTATCTATCTATCTATCTATCTATCTATCTATCTATCTATCTATCTATGTCTGTTCATTATCTATCTATCTCAGTCTATTCATTATCTATCTATCCATATAAATCTTTTTCTTTCTATCTATCTATCTATCTATGTCTGTTCATTATCTATCTATCTATCTCAGTCTATTCATTATCTATCTATATAAATCTTTTTCTATCTATCTATCTAGTTCAGTCTGTTCATTATCTATCTATCTATCTATCTATCTATCTATCTATCTATCTATCTATCTATCTATCTATCTATGAGTATTTCTATGGACATACGTTTACAGTAGGGTGATTAAAAGTGATGTATCTTAAAAAGTCTTCTATATTGAAGCAGGTATTTTGTCGCTGACGTCTAGACCAACTATTTCATTTTAATGACAAATTCGTGTTCGGATCATCAGACATTCGCTGACATTTCCGGAACAATAATATAATTACGTCAACCAGAGAAGAAAAATAGCGGCATAGATCAGAAAGTAAAGAAAAATCATTCTTTTTTTTTTTTACCTTATTTTATTCTCCGTCCTCTATTACGTCGACACCCACATTGAACAGAGATCTTTTTTTAAAGCACAAATCCAGTTCTTCAATTCAGACACCAATGAAAAGTAAAAGCAAAAAAGAACTGGAATATATTTTTGAAATGTCAGTGATCGAAAAAAAAAAAAAAAAACTCTCGTAGTCTTTTATCCTTCAGTCGTCTCTTTGATGAGCAATAAGCTATTTTTAGACTAATTTCTTTGTACCAGGTGGCCATGCGTAAAAAAAGAATCATCGGTGTTTTATGAGACAGTTTTGGTGTGTGATGATCATAAGATTTTCTCCAATATACCTGCTTCTATGCAGTTTGTGGTGAGCTAGTGACATTAACCTTCAGAATCTAACGGAAGACAAGCATAGGCTTTGTGTCTAAGGAAAACTGCTTTCATTTACTTTTTTGTTTTCATCAGAAGATTCAAGTTTTGTCATTATCTTTTATCGTTGATAGATTTCACGATTATTTTCAGTCGAATATTTTTGCAGAAGAGTTCGCTCTTTTGTGAAATTCGCAGAGGCCCGACGGAACGGTGAAAGCAACAAACAAAGATTATTACAATGTTTCTACAATCACTAAAAGAACATTTTAGAGAATATTATTAGATGTTTTATCAAACGAGAAGTCGGTGTAAACGTTGGTGCTATAAATGTTGGTGCTATAAATGTTATGGTGCTATAAATATCGGTTTTGTAAATGTTGATCTAACTCAACTCGACATATATATATATATATATATATATATATATATATATATATATGATAATTCCTAAGAGTTAACCTGTAGAAAAGACAATATTTATAAATATAAATGACAATAGGAAAACTGTAGTTATTGCTGACGCATTTCGTCCAATGTGAACTTTCTCAAAGCAAAAAACGAAATGAATTTATTCAAACAAAGTAACTAATAATAACATAAACAAAATGTCCTTAGTAATTGGAAGAATTTAGAGAACGCTATTTTTATACTGCTAACTGAAAATTACGTCAATTACTGTCACGTGTGGAGATATTGTTATTATTGCTGTGTAGACGGATTCAAACATTTTCTTTAGATTTCACAATATTGTTGTGTACGTTTGTTTGGGAGAGTAGCAATTCTGTTAAGAAAGGTGAAATGGGGAAAAGCCCGAGAGTAGATTAATATTTGGGTAATATTCAATGGCGGCACTCTCTAGGATTTTCCTTCTGAGTGAGTTATTTTTTTTGAGTGTAGCATTTTTAAAATCAAAATTGTGGTTGAATTTATTTCTATGTATGACTAGTGCATTAGTTAACTTGTTTTTTGTGAGGTCTCTTTTGTGCTCATAAATGCATTTATTTAAATTTCTACTTGTTTCTCCAATATATTGGGAGGAACAGTTTTGGGAATTTATTTCATAAATGCCTGCTTCAGAAATATTATTGCTATTAGTTTTTGAGGATCTGAGTATATCTATAATGGTTTTGGAAGAATAATGGTTTGTGACTATTTTAAGATTATTTAGATGGGATAGATTATTCTGGATAGTGGACGTGACAGAGTTGGTTGGTAATATTATGTATCTGTTTTCATGTTATTTACTATTGCGGATTATGTTATTAGTTTTGTTTTCTGGCTTGAGAAAGTCCACATTGGACGAGAAGCGTCGGAAACTACTACATTTTTGCCAGTTGTGCTTTTATATATATATATATATATATATATATATATATATATATATATATATATATATGCATGTTTCATTAAAAACGACAGACAAGGTACTACGGTTGAGCTTTTTATTTAATTTTTCTTGTGTTCTGACAAGAGCTTTCTTTTCTGGACAAAGAGTGTGTAAGAACTGTCCGAATGTTCTGTATTTCCGAGCGCTTTCGGCTATATCTTTAGCCATTATCAAGGATGATTCAATTATCAGCTTAGTAGAGTGTGTGTGTTCTGTGATGTTCAGTGTGTGATAGTGATGTTTTTAGTTTCCGAATACGGTTAGCACATTGTGGCTTTGTTCATAGTTAATATTGTTAAGAGTTGGCTTTTTCTTTTTTATTATTAGAGCTTCCATTATTTTAGTCTTTTTTGCAAGTGGATCTAATATATGTGTTTTTTAATGAAACATGCATAAAGGAGTGTGTGTTTTGCTGCCTAAATATGCCTAAATATATATATATATATATATATATATATATATATATATATATATATATATATGCACAATAAAATCAAAGTTTCAAGAAAATCAATTAGAAAAATTGTTCGTAAATTCAAACAACTGGGTCAGTGGCAGATGTAAAAACACCATTGCGTGCTTGTTTACGCCGTTGAACTGAAAACATTGCTGCAGTGCAGGGGAATGTGACACTATTCGTCATCGTGCACAGGTATTGAACCTTTGCACAACAACGTTACGCAGTTTCCAATTGCACTCTCCGTTGGTCGATTATGTTGAAACAAAAAAAAATCCCGAAGTGCGCGAAATGCATTTTTGCTTGAACGTCCATTTTCGTAATAGGCTTCGATAACTTTAACACGTTGTTTGATTGTTAATCTTTCTATGGTTGATATTGACAAGACTTAAGTTGTCAAATCTGAAAGAAAAAGAAAATAATCATTAAGCGCTTAAAGTTAATTCACATTTAAAATAAGTCCAAGTTATCGGAACACCTTTATATATATATATATTATATATATATATATATATATATATATATATATATATATATATATATATATATATATATATATATATATATATATATATATATATATATATATATATATATATATATGATGGACTCTCCCGTCAGTTTCGACCTATGAGGATCTGACAGCGTATTAATTCAGTTATGAAATTTTGTGCGATAATCTTAAGTGGCATTTAAGACCCGCTAGTGATTTACAAATGAGGCCACATATGGAGCAAGTGTGAGGATTGTTAGGTGATATCACTGTTAGATTGGCTGACCTTTTTAGATCATGCTCTCGCTTATATATGTATATGGGAGGTGTATGTATGTGAGAGAGAGACAGACAGAGAGAACGATAACGATATATATTAGGAACAATATTGAGGAAAATGTGTGGCAAGGAAAACCTTTTCTTGTGACGCGTTTCGTCCTTTAGCACTTCATCGGATTAAATTCGTATGTTTGTGCGATCATCAGATGACGAAATATCCGAAGGATTTATCGTGCAATCGACATTAAGTTTTGCGTATACCTGGCGCATAAGTTAGATAAATATATTCCAATTCATCTGCCCCTAGCGAACAGTCTATGCTTGAAACTTAAATTTGGTCGCGAGATAATCCCTTTCGACCTTTCTTCATCTCTTGATGTTGCTGTTTTTTTTTTCTTTATTGAGCATAGTATTTCTACGAAAAAGAAGTTGAAAAAGTAACGGGAATTTTTAAGGAAATTTATTTACAGTAACTTTAGTGGTATAACAGCTGGCATCTCCCCGAGACATATCACGCTATCTTAGTTCAACATTTGAAAAATCGTTAAGGTGTGAAAACCTGTGACGTTACTGTAAATAAATTTTTTTAAAGATTCCAGTAGCTTTCTTAACTCTTTTTCTTATAGTTTTACTCGTGTAAAATAACTTTCTTCTTTTATTTTAATTTAATTCATTTTTTGAACTTATTTTATTTTATTTTATTTTTTATTTTATTTTACTCGTGTAAAATTACATTCTTATTTTATTTTATACATACATATATATATATATATATATATATATATATATATATATATATATATATATATATATATATATATGTCCGTATGTCATGAGAATAATATATAAATTCTAACGTTCACAGCATTAATCCAAAAGAGTAGAGCAATAATTATTTATTATAAATTTTACATACAGACAAAGATAATGTACTTACTACAAAGATGAAACCTTGTTTCGGTGCATTTAGTTGTACCTCGACTGGAGAGAACCAAAAATGTTTATCTATGAATTGTTTCTGTATATAATGTAATTTTGCTATGTTTATATATGAAACGTACTCAGTATTTGAGAAACAGATTTTATACAATCTGGACATTGCCATCAACACTGAATTCTGACTGCCAGTTTTACGATACGGTGTGAATTTAAAACTGTTATGAAAATCGCAAAAATAGACTGACAGGTATCACGAAATCTTGGTCATTATGTCCACAGTTTTGTTTAATCTCTTTCTCCCTATATATCTATATATCCTTCATCTACTTGTCTATATATGGAGACAAGCTTTATATAAATATATATCGTTATTTTATTTAGGTTTGATAACCGGTTCTTTAAGTTTTGTATTAACATAACAATCCAAGTACTCATTTTTGCAATATTATTAATAATAATAGTAATGTTGTTGGTAATTTTAGAAGACCTTCCTCGTGAAATGTTTACAGCAGAGACATCGAAAGAAAAACATTTCTTAAAACGGAACCTGTAGAGGCGAAACTTGATAACTGAGGATCATGGTGATTTCGCAAACTGACCTATCCTTACTCTCCTTATTCTCCTTACTCTCCTCAGGTTTTAAGCAATCAATCTGAAAGTGGAACATCAAAAGGCAGAATAAAACAGATAATAAACGACAAAATCCACCTATCGTATTTATTCATGTATAATACGCACTTTTCCACAGATTTTTAAAACTAAAATTAAGGGATGTGCATTGTACGCGTGAACTAAATATTTATTTTTCCATATGTACCTCTATATTCGGAATGCTATGGCCAATATATATATATATATATATATATATGACCCAAATTAC